ACGCATGGCGCCGAAGAGAGAGAGGCGAGGACAGGGAGAGACGGCTCAGGCAGGGGTGCACTGCCAAATGGCCCCAAATGGCCCTCACAACCCCAACCAGGTGGACTTCTAGTACGCATACGCAGAGTATGATGGATGTCGCACTATGGGCTCATGTAGCTATGTGCGAATGCCTTACTTGTTACGCACGTGTATGTGTGATTTGTACCACGACACGTGTAAGATATGAGGTGGATTACATGTGTGAGCCAAGCTGCCGTAAGGTAATCGTCGTATCTTAGCCAAACGAGGTATGATTGCTTGCCGCTGACCGACCACCATCGCAAAAACCCCAACAGTGACATGGCGACAACGGAGATGAGACTGCTGTTCAAGTCGTTGGCCTACTGTCGCTGCTACAAAGATGCTCGTGCATTTGGTTGTCAACACCGTCGAGAAGGTCACCAGTCCAATACGACTGGGTATAATGCTATCCCAAGGTCCGAGGACCATCGAGCCAGTGAACACGACAATAGGCAACCCGAGTTTGAAGTCGGAGCCTGAGGGACAGCTGCAGGCTGGCTTGTGGCAAGGGAGCAAGAAAGACGGGCGGAGAAGCATTGGAGCAGCTCTTGAGTGGCGGGACTGATGGTTTTCTAATTCCTTAGCCATTTTGTTGGTTCATATTCCCTGTGTTACCAGTTGATGGCTGGACAACACGCAGGCTAGAGACAAAGGTGGCCCGCCTGGTCAGCAGTTGAAAAGACGACAACAGACCTTGCATTTGCCTTAGCGATGGCCGGGCTCCTCAAGGTGCTAGTGGAAAGTGCAGCCCGCTCAGTGCATGGATCGATTATTTTGGTTGTTTTACCTTGGCGCTGTCCCTGCCGTAGTACGCCCTGCCTTGCATTGCTCATGAATGGCGAAGCTTGCGGAAGTGCGACTTATCCGTGGCTGGGGCATGTATCAGGTACTCGAGGCTTCAAAGCACCTCAAGGCGCCGCTTCTTCTAGCTTGTTTGACGCACGGAGTGCCTCGCCAATCCGGGAGCAGAGAAGCGGAAATCGTTTCGGTCCTGACGAGCATAATCCCGTCATAGTTGCTCACGAGGTGATCACCCTGACCGCGATGATTTGAGCTTGACTAGAGGTACAACCTGGAAGTCGCTGGTGGTCGTAAATAAGGCAGACGCAATACCTGTTTGACGCCGGACTTGCCTTCAAATCTCATTACTGTTCGTCACACAGTCGCTACTGCCTCCAGTAACCATTTGCACTCGCATGCATGCACCACCTGAGGGAGGTACCTTAGGTAGTGGACCAAGACGTGTTGGTTAAGGTAATGCTTGGAGAAAATGCATTCAAAGCGCAAGATTGGCCACTTTCCATTTGTGCCTCCCTAGTGGGTGACATATCTCTGCGAAGCAGTCATATCTGCGGGATCAGTTGCCCAGCTCTGTTATCCCGCAGACACTTTTTTATCGTTTTATCTACGAGAAAGACTTGCCTGCTCAACCTCGGGTGCTCGGAAGGTGCGGCCTGTACGAAGGCAGAACGGAACAACCGGCAGCTCAACGGAAAAGTGAGAAATGCGAGGGGATCCCGCATCATCGGCGAAGCGGAACGCCCTGAGAGGGTTTCAGCGCCATGATTCCAGCATTCTGCGACCCAGCGAACAAGTGACTGAACCGTCACAACCCATACATAGTACAGACATTACTGCGATTCGCTGGTTCAAGGGCCGGGGCCTTGTCCAGCACCTGACACAACGGTAGCCCCTCCAACTTCGCATCCTGACAGGCATCGACTTTATTTAGCACAGAATTCGTTACGACACAATAATTCCATCGATACGCAGGCTCAACGCCCCAATTACGCCCAGCCTGCCAAATCAGGTGGTGCTATGCGAGTTGTCCCGCGCGTACCCATTCGTGTCTTCTGTGTCGGTGTCTGATTATTGGTAGCACCCGTCACCAAAGACTCCTGAGAAGTACTATTTACGGAGGATGGACTCCTCACCTGTGAACTGGAAATATGGACGTGTCCGACTATCCCAGGGTATGGACCTGTCGTCCCTTCGATCTCCGGTGGTCCACCATGGCTATCTGCCTGGTCATATGTTCACGCCATGGTTCAATTGTCTCCCTATACAGATTGCTGTATCTATACACATCTCCCAGGTCCAGTTGAGCGACGCCATCTTCGGATGCAGAAGTGGCTGAATCAGTTCACGATGGACCCAAACTTGTTGCTTTCCTTCCCTCATCTGACGGATTTAGTTCGTGGAAGAGCCCCGCAGCAGCCAACGATAAAGCTACCCCGCCGCTCAACTACGCTTTTCGCAACTGCCAAGCGAATCACACTCTTATCGATTGGCCCATGAGACCCGGGCAAGACGGCGTGGTGCCTGATTCGTCCGAATCCACTTAACATCCCTGTAGATGATCGCCTATCCCTGTCCTATGATGACAGCTTTCCGGAGCCTCTAGAGGGGTAGTTACCTATGTATATATCCTTCACGGGTCTCAGAAGCTGTGATCAATACTTGAGTTCGAGTTGGGGACCTGGAGAGAAAATGGAGTTCAATGACTTGCGTTGACGGTCACTGTTCGCGCCGCCTCAAGCCTGAGAGGTTGCGAAAGCGACAACAGTGGCTTTCCATGCATGAGCCCGCCCACATACATAGTGCGCAGTACACGTACCCCTCCTCCTCTTTAGGCCTGGGCCCCCAGCTGGAACTCGACCAGCACTGCATGAATTGGACGCTCATGGATTAGCGTATAAGCCGGGCACCAACTTGAATTAATCAGGGACTCTTGTCCGTCTCAGCCATGTCTTTCATTCTCTTTGGCAAGAGTGGACTTTTACATTAACATGACGACGCCATCCATCGGGAGATCGCTCCTCGATGTCTCGCCAACTGGATTGCTCACTAAGACTCCCGCTGAGCTGAAGCCCCCTTGTCGGCATTGCGTACATGGTAAACGCCAAGTGTACGCCTCTTCACCGCCTGGTATCGTCTGCTTTGTGAAGCCGACAGACTGTGGAGAGGCAAGACACGTCGATTCCGGATGAGCATGCCAGGCTTACGAGGTTCGACGAGAGCATCGAGCGTGGGCAGAACCAGGGATAAGTCGGCCCACGGTCTGTCTCCCATACTGTTACTGCAGCATTTGTACTATCTATGCTGGCCCACTGACTCACCACCTCTTGCAACCTTTATATATCCTGGTCGGCCGCAGCAAACCATCTTTGTGCTTCTGCTTCTCCACCTCGGATCACGTCTCCTGCTGGTTCTGGGCGCCCCTCTGGACTCTCCAAATGCCTCGAACCTGTACTGCACCACCAGTAGAAGTCGAAGCGACACGCTATTTCACGGACGTCACCGCATAGCTGCAGGTAATAGCGCTGCACAATGAACCAAGGAAACCCAACGGATATGGATGCTTTTGGCGACGAAAACTGGAGTGGCAGCTCACGGCCTCTTTCGCTTTTCTCTTATCGCCTTCTCACCTTCTTAAAGGCTAAGCTTCCGACCTGCAACCCAAAGCCCCAGGGTTGCGCTCGTATGACGCCTTTTCAGGAAGTTGGCCAGTGAGCAACCTGTTGCCAAAGCAGAACGGAGATGCAATCAATTTTCCTTTGGTGTCCGCCTTCTTGCCCCTCGTCTCATCTTCTTGCGGTTTGCGGTCCGCTGCGAAACACGACCAAACTTCAAGCCTCTCTTTTCCAATTCTCGCTCGTGTTTGTCCATTGAGGGCCGAACGCCCCAAAAGCTGTCTCAGTCCGCCGCCAACCCATGTCTTACTTACCGTCTCGTGATTCCGTCACTCAGCATTACCGACCAGGCTGATCGTTTCGGACCGCTGTACGATCTCGGCATAAGCAGGACCAGCAGGACGCCTCGTCCGATGCTTATTGGGCATAGCTAAAGAGGCGAATCGCAGAAATTTGTTGTTTGACGGGGCAAAATCAATGCATTTGTCGTGGAAGTCTGGCAGATGTGAACTCATTCGTACCTAGATCTCACGACGTTGCATCGAATCCGACGCCACGTTCTACCTTCCGGCTTTTTTGGACTATTGCGTCTGGTTCTCCGTTTTTGGTTGCCTGGCTTCTCGTCGTCTCGTCGTCTCTGTCAATTCGGTTGATATTCTCTCGCTACCGTGTGATACAGCCGCGGTTTTCTCGTCCGAGGTACCTAGCTTCAAATTACTTTGCAGCTAGCAGATTCGCTTCTTCAAACTGTACTTCCGCCACGTCGCGGTATTTGAGCTTAACTTTCTGCCCTCAACAATCGAGGAAATATCGTCAAGCGATGATACGACAGCGCATATCTCGTCGCTTTTGACCGCAGGATGGTACGCGCCCTTGGCTTGAAAGGAATGATATGGAGTGTCGACTTCACCACAAATTGCCGCATATGACAGCTCATGCATGACAAGGCCTGAATCAGGTCGGTGGCGGTTGCCCCATTGGATTGAACCCGAATGGCATACGTATCATTCTTCGGATGAAGGTTCGCTCCAAGTCTCCTTCTACTCTGACCCGCAAAGCGAGGCCATCTTGTCGTTCCCTTGGTATACTCAGTGACCCTGGGAAGCTCCCAGGTAAAGACAAGGCTGCCTCTGGCCTTCTCGCACGTGCAGAGGAGGTCGAGCGACAAGACCACCATTCAACTTGATATCTGCGGCCTAATGACCAGCTGGACAGGTATGACGGCCCCTACCTCTTCTGTGTCTGTGCCAGCTCTTTGAGCTGTTTGGCCCGGATTTATCCACGACAAGCTGGGCCGCGCTCCGTCCGCTCACTACTGCACGAGCGTGTCACCGTAATCGCAGTTTCTCCAACACCAGATCTTCACCTCAGGGTCTTATAAGAGAGTTTGGCACAAGGACCAAAAAACCGCTGGTCACGGAGAGTTCTAACCCCCTCTGCACGGGCTGAAGACGGCGGCAGCGACTAGACCTGCCAGATGTCACGACTTGTTGCGAGCAAAGTGTCGTCAACATGCAAAAGAGATGGTCCCATTGGGGGTTGAACCCAAGACCTTCGCATTACTTGATGGTCATTGTCTGAATGACGGGTGACTATTAGTACGATGCTCTAACCAACTGAGCTATGGGACCGAGCGGCCTGGTTACCGATCGATGGTGGGAGAGCAGGCGGCCTACCGAGTTTTACGGTGCTGTGATTGTACGCGACTAGCTCTATTCTTTAGGAGTGGGTTGTGTTCTGTTGAGAGATGGCGAGTCAGTTCTGACCCGCAGACCCATCTGTCGTAAAAGGTGAGATGGATATGTGTCGACAGAGCCTGTTCTGGCACATGGGAGTGAGGATCGCGCTCTGTGAGAGAGCAACTGCTTATAGCGTGAGAAGAGTTCGCTATGTTGTTCTAGCTCTTGTTTGCAGTCAACGAGCCAACAGCAGAGAGGTGACACCTACTGTCGGGCAATGTAACATTGTAAAAATACTCTATTAGGTATAAAGAGTAAGGTCTAGCAAACGAGGCTATAAGCTTTCTCTACTCTTAACATATCAAGTTTCTATAATATTAAAACAAACAAAAATAGAAGGAACGACGATTAATTCCTCCAAACTGGACAAATATGGCCTTTGTCGGCCATAATGTTTCTTGAGACATATTCACATTTGCGTCAAAGAACGAAACAGCAAAAGTTTGGAGGCGCCATGATTTGAACACGGGACCCTCTGCAATTCAAAGCTCAGAAGAAGCTTGCAAAGCAGAAATCATAACCACTAGACTACACCCCCATTGATTGGATGACGGCTTTGTCGGGTATGCCGGTCGATATCCGGCTGTGGAGGTGCGGGGTCCTTGTCTCGGTCGGTCGCCGAAGTGTAGCCAGACAGATGTCTTCGGGACGCTACATGTAAAAGGGTCAGCAGCTGGGGCGTAATACCTAGAGTCACGAGGATGTTATGTATAGTCGACATGTTTGTTCGTCGTATTGGCATTGTCCAGGCATGGGCGGGCATGTCGAGCAGGACTTCGAAGGGCCCTTATGCGATAGAAGCGCGGACCTTTTACGTTAATAACCAGGTGATGCGCACCAGATGATGTGTGATGAACATTCCTTAGCTTTCAAAGTTTTGGGACAATGATTAGCATTTGTCGCTCTGTGGGTAGAGTAATATTTCTGCCATCTCATAGTTGGGCATATGCAGGCACCAGCCTTCGAGGGATATCTACCATTGCTCTCACCGATGGACAATGTGTCCTGCGTGATTCCGCCTTGCCGTCCATATACCATATACATGCATCGGGGTGATATCCCTAACGTACCAAGCGGAAGTTACTTCCTAACAAGCCTATACTTGCCCACCACAATCTCCAGCTCCCCGTCAGCAACCTTCTCACCCAAGAACTCTTGCAGTTCCTCATTACTCCACGGAAACCCGTCCGCGATCAGCATCTTCATCATCATGGCCATCTGGCCCAGCGGCATCGTCGCGCTGGCATTCGTCAGCATCCCGCGGATGTACTGCCAGTACATGGCCCGCCGGCCCGCCTCCTTCTCATCGACCACGACGGCTGGAGCGGCGGGCTCGGCGTCTGCTGCCGGCCCGGGGGACCCAGGCGCGGAGGAGGTGGGGCCCAGGTCTGGGCCAGATGCTGTTTCCAAGACGACGTAGGTCTCTCCCCGCCGGGCGAGTACGCCTTTCGAAACCCAAAACGACAGAGCGGAGGTTATCAGATCGTCGTCCATTTGCAGATGCTCCTCGAGGTCGGACACTGTCATACGGGCAGGTGTTGTATCGGACGACTGGAAGGCGTAGATGACTGTCGCTTCGTAGGTCTTGCAGTCTACTGCGACGGTACGGTCTTGCAGCTCAAGTTCGACAGTCGCTTGGCCTAGCTGGTTGAGCCAGGTCAGCTTACGGGAGGCTTTGAGGTGTTCGTAGCCCTGCTCGTATTGTTTTTGGTGCTCGGAGATTGGGGTCGGAAGGAGGAAGTGCTCGCGATCCAGGTTCGGCCAGAAGAGTCGCGAGAGAATGCGGGCGTGATATGGCGCTTCTGATGACACGGACGGGGAGGACGAAGACGGCGCGGCACGGGAGCGAGTCTTGGGATTGGTGGGTGTTGCGGCTGGCGGGGGTCTTGATGACTCGCCGTCTTTGACGCCTTGGACCTTGCGAATGGCGCCGTCTAGGCGTCGCGAGTCCTGTATGTCGCGGATCATGACGTCGCAGTTCTGGAGGGCTGCTTCGCCAAACCGTTTTTTGAGCAGGTTGAGGACGCGGACTTCCTGGTCGAAACGAGCCTGGTCAGACAGGAGTCGCTCCGCTACTATGACTTGAAATTCGCGGATGAATGTGTCTTGGGAACCCAGGGCGGAGATCAGGGTGCCGATGACGTCCTCGCTGCGCGGCCGTTTGTAGTTGGCCCCCGCGTCTATTGGGTCCGGAACCCAGCTCATGTCGTTCCAGTCTAGGTCTGCGTCTTCGTCTGCGCCGCCTGCACGGCGTGACTGGATAGGGTCTGTCATCAGGAGAGCCAGCTCGACAAGCTTGGCGCTGTGGGTGCCGCCGGTTGTAGATCCGGAGACGGGAGGGACTTCTCTAATACCAGCTTCTTCAACCTCGGGCGTGCCGTGTCTTGACCTTAAGCCTCGCCGTGGCGGCAGGGCTGGTGTCATGAACGGGCCACTCTGAGACGTCCCTGCGTGTCTGCCTCTGCTCAAGCCTTCTTTCTCTTCTCGCATCTGCTTCTCTAATCTGGCCGCCCTGATCTCCTCAGGTGAGGCTAGTAGTCCTGTTACAACAATACGCACAGCATCCTCACGACCGCACAGATACAGCTGTAAGCTCGGTGATACGCGGCTAAGGAGCACCTTGCTGTGGTCGAGCGCGTGAAAGGTTCGGATCATGGCGATGTAGGTCTGGAGGATCTCCAGGGTCGACCGTCCAGGATGGAGCAGCCGCCGCTGCAGCGTCACTGCGAACGAATCTGTCAGTTGTAGCCTGCGTGCCGGTGTGGTGATGGCAGCTCGCAGGTCGTCTAGAGCACCGCGTGAACTGGGCCAAGCCAACACAATGTCAAAGAGCTCTGCTATCCGCAGTGCCGCTAGACGACCGAGAGCAAGTGACTGGTAGGTCTTGACATCTGACAGAGTGACAGGTGGCTGGCTCGAATCATCGGTGATCCGGCTGAGCACCTCGATAGCTAGGCGTGCGTAGTGGTTCTCGATCCAATTACACAGCGAAGAGATGCAAGGAGACGACGATGCCGGGCTCGTGGCCTGCAGACCTGTGATCGAAGTGCTTCTCGTAAGCCCATGCTGCTCGGCCGGCGCTGCCCAGATGCCAGCGTACGCTCCCTTTACGAAGTCCGACATCATGGCATCCATGACCTCCGCGAAGAGTATCTGAAACCTTTCGCCGGCAAGGCCAACGCTGCAGAGTGGCTCAAGAAGCTCAAGCAGCCGTTTCCGAGATGCGAGCGAGTTGAGGTCATTCTCCGTGGGCGGGGCTGGTCGGGTTGTCACGGTATCGTGATGATTCTTTCCATGCCTTCTGGCTGGAACTCCAAGCGTGTTTCCAACAAGATGGATCAGCACGACTCGCAATGATCTCATCAATTGCGGAGATGCAGAGTTGCTCACCAGAGCGTGAACATCTCGGCGGAATCGGCTGGCGATGAGCTCCGGGTCGGAAGCAGCGTTCTCCTTCTCTGCGGTCTGGACTCGCTGAATCCCGCGTACGAGCAGCTGCATGCCGTACGAATACAGTCTCATCGCGGCTTCAAGTGTCCGCACGCTGCTCATGACAATGATCATGTGCTTTTCATACGATCCTCTACCTGTGGGGTCCCTTAGGTCATCCTCCTCTAACAGTCCCTCCGCACAAGCAGACAGCAGCGGTAGCACGTGCTGAGCAAAGTGTCTTCGCACCTGCTGTGTGTGCCAGAAGAGTATGTCCTCGGTGTGAGCCGCCCGTGGCAGAGCTGTCGGTGCGTTCACAACCAGGCGGAGAGCCTCGTAGAAGGCGGCTTCCGAGCTCACCTCTTGTCCCTGAGACTGGTACTGGGAATCAGGTGCGAGGGTCCCGAAAGAGTCCTCAGCAGTGGCTGAAGCGGGCAGAACGAGTCTGGAAGTGACGACGTGCCAAGCACGGTCGTACCGCATTTGCTCCTCGGCAGCATCCTGCACTCCAGATTGGTGTCCTGTTGGCGGTGGCTGAGGGTGCGATAAAAAGCCAGCAGCAACTGTAGGGGCATAGGGTAAGAACTTGCCCACAACCTGTTGGGACAGGTCGTCTGCCGTGTTCCTATGGTCCGACAGTGGCTGCAGGGTGTCAGGAGCAGCGTTTAGTGAAGCAGCTAGAGCGTGGCTCGCATTGTGAAGTTGGTGCTTCAACTCGGGGCTAAGGAGGTGTCCACCGAATGGCCGACCCTGCTCTGTGAACCTAATGGAGGGTGTGGAGTAAGGAGTTGGTTGTGTGATGTCCGTCTGAAAGACCGACTGGTAGACACGTCGTCGGCGTGTTTTCCACTTGGACGTCGCCACGGCCGCAGCCATGATGTGCTCTCTCCCGAGTGAGTCAGTCGCCTAGAGTACCAATATTATCTAGGACGTGAGAGAAGATTGCCTAGACAGGCTTGACGTTGTTAGCCGTTTGGTTGTTGGCTTGTTGACAATGTCCAAGTGAAGCGCGATTGCTGTTTGGTTGGCGCGCTTATCTTCTATTCCCACACTGCTGCGCTTAATTGGACGCCCAGCCAGCGGTGGCCGGGGGTACGCGTGGCCCGCTTCCGAGCGCGTACATAGCAGATCCGAGCTAAGGAAGGTGTAACTGGTGCGGTGTGTGGGGTGGGGAATTCTTGTTTGATGTTACCTACAGTACAGTATACGGTACCCACCTCACCTTCCTCAAGCCTGGGACAACTTAGCGACAAATGCGTGGTGCCCATTGTGCAATTCAAGCTTGTTTGTACTGTACCATCCCATATTTGCTGTCCTTGTTGTGAATACTTTTCCACATTCTCTTCCAAACAATGGCAACGAGTCTATGACAACATGGACTTCGGCGAAGATCCCAGCTGGAGCTTCCTTAGGCGTGAGTAAAGCCAACTGAAGCCACACAGACCTGCGCCGCTGGTCCGCTC